ATATATATGGCCACTAAACTAGCATCACTTCAACTTCAATCTCACGTTACCTTGATGCTCATCACTTCTTTCATACTCATCGATTCATTTATGTTTCAATTCATTGCCGGTGAGCACACTGAATTCATTGCCAGAAATCGTTCGTCAAATTTCTATTATTATATAGACTATGATAATTCATCATCACTGAATATGTGAAGTGCAAATAAATAGATGATTATTTCAGTGAACAAATATTCTCATGTTCTTATAATTGCTTTATTGTGTTTTGTTACATGTTTTCTACTGGGTTCAGATTAGCTTGGTTAATTTTCTAATCCAGCAGCTGTTTACTAATTCATCACTGGTACAATACCACTAGCAGTTGAGATTCTGAAGGAATACCTTCAAAATTTCTTTCGACGTTCCATTCTCTTTCTTTAGACGTTCCAATTCTGCGTAGCGTTGTGCGTACGTTTCTTTGGACTGAAAAAAAAACATTGTTATATTTACAGAAATAAAAATTGTTCAGCTTTAAGGGTAAGTAAAAGTACTGCAGATATGCACTGGAGATCACTCGTCTCATGCATGAATAGATAAATACAGCAATCACTAGCCGGATACACTTTAGCTTATTCTGAACTACGCATTGAAGACACAAATTTCTCACATGTGCGAATGATAATTCAATGATATTGCTTGCCATTTGTGCAAATTCTATTTCAACCATAAGCGAAACTGCTATATTTTCACAGACTATACGTGACTGTGTCATATTTTGTGACGTGACTGATAACTGACTCTTTTATGGAGCTTATTGGTTTCTACACACTCAACGATAAGATTAAGTGTGTGAGCAATGGAAGACTTCCTTTCATTTGAGTTCTATCGTTCCATCGTTAATTCAGAATTTTTGCATCATCATCATCCTTCCTTTCAGTGTTTAACTACAACTCGAAATCGACTTATAAATACACAAGTAATCAGCACCTTCTGAAGGCATGTTGTCGTTGTTTGCATCAAATTCACCGCATCTACTACATCTTGTTCTTTCATTCGCTTTCTTGATCGAACCAATTCTTCGTGATATTTCAATACCTTTAAGTTTCATTTTGTTTTGATTTGCTTCGGATTCAGTTTCGTTTCATCACTTTTCATTGCCGCTTCACATTTCATTTCCCCCTCCTTCTTAGCTCAACTGCTAATAAAACTAGAAACTAAAAGCAAACAATAATAAAAGTGGTCGATTGCAAGGTTATCTTAGTTCATACTGATATCAGTCAACTAGTAAAAGTTTCCCCAGCTATAGATACCTTTATATTCATCGACTACTATCACAATAACAATAACCAACATCTTTAAGGAGTTGCTGTAATGATTGGAAGAATGTCGATTGAATGGTCGCTAATGAATCGAGCATATCTTTGGTGACTTGCCATGAACTTGTTAAAGCATTAAACCCACCACCAGCACCAGCAGCACTACCACTACTACCACATGACGAAGTTGAACATAGAGAAGACGTCTTCAAATGTCACTATAGATTTTTAAGAAATACCCATATCATCAATACATAACGATAATGCTCTTTGATTTTAGTTCATCCTCAGCACTGTTTTCATCGATAACTAACGAAAGCTTGCAGACGAGAATCACAGTTTTGAATGAACGAACCTTTAACACGGTCTTTATGATGAATTTACTCGTCTCCTCTTCAAAACTTGCTCTTTCTTTTAAAAACTGTGCTAATTCTTGCACTGATTCTTCTCCTTGTTTTAGATTTTCGTATAGCACATGATAACCATGATGTTTTTCGCCCTGAATGTTTTTTGAACTCATTATTCACATTCCCTCGAAGGTAATCAACCAGAGACAAAGATACTTCAAAACAATAATGCAGCTATAAATGATAACAGATAATGAATGGCAAAAGTAATGGTAGATCTAATGTTAACAGAAATCTCACCCAGAAATGTTCTGCATAATCGATAGCTACCATTTGTGCTGATTGCAACTTGATGCATCGACTTCCGAATATGATCAGTGAAATGAATGATAACAATAAAAATAATCAGTGATAGTAATGGTAATACTGAAGATAAAGTTAATAATAATAATACCAAACAGTCTCAGTGACAGCGCCTCAAAACAACAAAATTGCTTCGTAAATTGTTCAAATAATAAGCTAATTCCATACGAATCGTTTTTCAACTTTCACGCAAACTATTCAACAATTAGTTCAACCGATCAACATTACCATTAATTCATAAAATCATCTGTACAGTGATGATGTCACCGAATTACAGTTTATTTCAGTGCATCAAACATCAAGGCTTACGATCTGCGACCATACACTATCAGTTTGCTTGCTGTCAAAGTAAGCTTGCCGTAACAAACTTATCAATGAACTTGTCAAACTTGCTATAAAAAAGTCAAGAAACTTGTCAAAATTCCTCGACATTTGCTTACAGATTTCTTGAATCGCACGTAACATATTGATGCATTCAAAATAATTGGTCGTAATCAATAACATGTGCTAACACAACTGGATGCTGCTGAACTTATCGATAATCAAAGGATACGAACGAATCTCAGTAAGAAGCCTGATTGGCGTTGAAAGCTTTGGGGAGCATAACGAGTTCCACCTCCCCCCCTCCTAAAAAAAGAAGCGTTTCCCAAGAGGAAGATCCTCTTCAGAAGGGAGAACAGCTCCTCGGAAAAGGTTTGAAAGCCACCACTCCGCATGCAATATGGCGCATACCCTCAATTAAAGTAGTCTATCAGTCCGCCTTTACTCATCTGAGGGTACAAGTATCACCGCTTGCAGGAACATAAATCAACAACAATCTTAGCGATGTACAAATAAATCGTGTGTAACTGCCATCCACTGAATGAATAAACAAGTAAAAAAACGCCATCGACGAAAAAAAACCAACTATACCAATGAAAAAAAAATTCAGATACAGTGACGGAGAGCATTGCGGCGTATGCCAAACACGATGCACATATACATGAATTTTTGAAGATCAGCCATCCACTCAGCGGATAACTCAACTACGAACCCGGATTATCATTGGTATCAGGATAGGGGTCAGAGATAGCACGTGATGAGTCGATCAAATCGAATGAGCGGCATTAGGAAGAATATAATTACTGAGTGACTAGAGGCGGGCAGGTTCAAGCTAAATGCAATAACACCTCCTGCTGATGGCAAAACAATCGCCAAATTCAACCATATGCTTTCGGCATGAAATGAATGAACACTCTCATAACATTCCTTCTTCTCTGCAATCATCATCATACATACCAGCACTTATTGGACGAGTTTCAATCAAATCGCCCGAGTTTTTTTATTCCTTCATCTTCAACAAAATTCATCGCAGTTCGCAACAGTATGATGAGAATTGCCACTACGAAAGACTTATTCAGTACAACCATCATCTCAATTACGCATATTCTCAATGCGTGACGATATGTCACACAAATGAAGCGAGTTGAATCTCTTAATAGCTCTCAATGAATAAATGTTACTCCTACATCACAGCATCATGTAATTCTCAATCTAGTAAATACGCTGCATACAAATCATTTATAAGATATCCAACTATCGCAGTGGTTCTCATAGGAGGTGACATTACCCAGTTTGGGTGATTTGAAGGTGTGAAGGGGTAATCGAAGAGTCGGGAAATTAGGATTTCGTGCAGTTGTTATGTTACGATAGAACGCCATTGTGATGGTGTTTTTTAACTGGGGTATGTGATTGCGGTTAGTTGATGGCACTCTTCATTCTCCTATTTTCTAAGTATTGTTAGCTCGTCCGGGCCTAACAAGGTTATCATTTGTTTTAACAGGATTTTCATTCTTTTTCTTGCTGTTAAAATCGCTCTCATAGCTTTTATCACCAGAAGTGTACTCTTTTGCTAATTTCTCATTCATTTCACTCAACAGTTAAAGTCAAATTCTCTTTTGCTAATTTCTCATTCATTTCACTCAACAGTTAAAGTCAAATTCTCATTCTATCAAATATGCTCTATAATTGATCATTTGACAGTCGAACGTTGGTGGGCAATAATATACGATTGCCGTATTGTTGATTTCGGCTGTCAACACTCGTCAACGTATCCAGTAAATAGTATATGCTACAGAATGAGAAATTGATTCGAACTGTGAAGTGAGAAGTGAATGAGAAAAACTCATCAAGAGAACGGTATTCGCATGTAACAGCTATGAGAGTGAATAGAACACGTTTGAAAAGAATGAGAATCCATCTAGATCAGTTTGAAGTGAGCGTGTCATGGACAATAGCTTTTCATGCAATCACAATCGATTGCAGTAATGAGCAACACCACAGTCTAAGACACCAGTTTCTTTTACGCCGCTGAGAAATTTTCGGACCGGTTTTCCGTTAGTTCCTGACGTTAAATAGTAAGTTAGTTCTCAGTAAGTTCTTATATGGGGGGGGGGGTTGGGTAACGGCGGCCTGTCAGATCATCAAAAGGGGTAATGGAGCAATCGAACGTGAGAACCACTGATCTATCGTGATACATGTTGAATGCCTGCACAAAAATCCTGCATTTGTAATCTTCATGACAGCTTAGAAGAGAACACACAAACTCTTGTTATAATAGCGAAAACTCATCGTCTATGCCTTCCAGCTAGAAATAACAGTCAAAATCATGCGGTTACAGATTTCAACACTCAAAAATTTCGAATTTATTCTCATGTGTATATAAATAAAACATTTCATGAAGTGAGTGATCTAAATAATGATACTCACATATCACTTATTGCAAATTCCTCTTTATGCATTTGGAATTGCGTAAAAACGCATCTGAAATCGACTGGAATGCATTCGGAATAGACTAGAATAGTGTAGATATCAAAAAAATTCAATATTTACACTTATCTAACGGAAATAGTTATTGGATGAGCAAGCGTATTTTGATGGTGACTGGACATTTGGCCTGCCGGATATGTAGGTTATGGAAAACTTTTTCCTCGACATCAGAGTTCAGTCAGTGGATTTTCTGAGGCTGGTGAATTTCGTTATCACTGGCATCATTATTATCTTTGTCAGTGGTAAGCACACTACTGAAAAAAAGTAGCTCCGCTAATCGTTTTCTCGCTTTGAAAAAAAATTTGTTCCGCTGAACGTAATTCGCTAGTAGTTACACTGACGAAATTTGAAACACTAGTAGCGATTCGAAAAGGCAGCGAAAACCTCTCACTAAAGTGTTGCTAATCAGAAAAATTGGCGATAATTTTCACTAAAACGCTATTCAGCAAAATTAGTCCGCTAATTAGTCTACTATCATTAATCGTTACTTTCAAATCATCCCTCAAAATTTGCAATAGCACGATCGATTTAACCGCGAAAAATCCTAATTGCATCATGAACTGTTGGAAAATTCTACTTAATTATTCAGCAACAAGAAATCTACTCGACAATAAGCACCAGTCAATGACGAAAACAAAGTTCAGTAATAAAAAAATAACGACGAAGTGACGACAACAAAATTTAAAGATGAAAAACAATCAGCTGGCAGCAGTCTACACTCACCTCATTCCCTCTCAAAAAAACCAACATGTTGAGCATTTCGTCTGAGAATCTATGGATCGTTTGGTTGTCTTGGCATCGGTTATCAGTGTGTTGTGGAGGCGGTAAAAAAGTCGGAGACGGCAAAAGTCGGCGACCTTAAAAATGCAGTCGGCTCAAAAAAAAAACGGGGACGGTGAATCAGAGACGGGGTCCCCGAAATTCTCCGATCCCGCAACACACCAGTATCGGCTGTCTCAGTCTCTCTGTGGTAGAAACCAACAATTCCCAGACCTATACATTGAAAGGGCTCCAAAATGAATCCAGAAAACTACCGTCCCATCTCATTAACATCCATATCTAAATTATTCTTGAAATTACAAGCATATGGCGTGTGAGGTTCTCAGTGTAATTGGATCCGAGACTTTCTTACGAACCACTCCCAATCGGTCCAGTTGATGATTTATTCAGTTCTTCAGAACACATCAGCGTCAACGTTCTTCAAGGTGTCGTTCCAGGACCTTTTCTCTTTCTTATTTGTATTAACGATCTTTCAGAATGCCTTCCTCTAGACTTAATAAAATTCATTATTGCAGACGATGTTAAGGTGTAGTTCAATATAGTTAAATTTTCGTTTTTTAGTTAAAAAAGAACGATTTCCAGCATAGTTTTAATAAAAAAGATAACATCGCAGCTATAAGCTAAAAGCTAAAATATAATTTTCATAAAATATGATCCTATTGTCATTGTCATTATTATATTTTTTCCTACTGAATTCATTCGTTATTACTATGATTTTTGGCATTATTCTCACAACTCCTTTTTTCTTCGAATTGAATTGCTAATGAATTTTTAATGAAATTGTCAAATCGAAAGTGATCACCTTTGTACTTATTCATCAGCATATTAGTTCAATCACGTGTATAATTAATAATAAATATTATCTTTCATCATTGTACGGAACCTGAATAATCCGAACGTATTATAGTTTCTTCAAGGAAACTGCTTAAATAAGCTGTCAATCACCGATGATAACAACTGCATTGTTTGTTCTTGATAAGTTCACTGATCGGAACCTGACTTTGATCAAAGCCAAGAAAATCCCAATGTTAAATGCACAAATGTTTTATTATTTGATTGCGGAGTGAACAATCCCGACAACTTCCAAAAGTAGGGTCAAAGGATTCCGAAAACTCATGCGGCTAAAACTCTCGGACGTCCAAATGCCATTAGGTCAAATGACCTAGTATCTTTGTTGATCACACAACCCAATTTGAAGAAAACAAAAACGTTAGCTTTCTTCTAAGAGCATTCACATTTATTGTGATGATTTATGAAAAAGAAAGGCATAGTCATTACTTTTGAGAAGTGACCTCTTTCGCTCTTTCTTTGACGACCTATTCAAACGATCTTCATTCTTTAATCAAACTCAAATCGAGTCGAATCAAACCGAACCGGTTCTCCAAACTCTTTGTGGTTTATTCAGCGATTTTAACCGTCTCTTTCATCAGTTCGCTAAATTCAATTATTTCTCGAACTCCAACCACAGTCGTCGATAACTGATCTCATATCTTTCGTTTTTCTGAACTTGTTCCATTCAGTCACCATTATGCAACAACGCCGTCTCGTATGATGTAACTGTCCCAATAGAACACTCATTAATTATCGATCAATCGTCTTCTCGGAGCGACGATTCGGTGTTTCTTCAACTTATCATCTTCGTTTCGAAATTTGTTCGCTATTACGCAAACCATTAATATTCCGTCTTTCTATATAAACCGAAATTGTCCTTCCAAAAATGTTCACTGCATAATGCGTATTCTTGAAGAACGTGCATTTATTTGTTGAGAATACAATGGAGGTTTATCGTCATTCATTTATTGAGAGGAATTCAATGGAGGTCTGTCTCTCTTGTTCTGCTTGCTGCTGTTCTGGTTGCTTGTTCTGCTTGCTGCAACATCATTATCGTCACTGAAATAGCCAGATTTTTTTCCAAAAAAAGGAGGGGTGGGGGAGGG